ACAAAATAACTGTCGGGAACTTGAGATGGTGAGATGTCCCTACATTGATCTCTGGAAGTCTATGTATGGAGGGGTCTTTCCTTAGGAAGGAAGCAATAGCCTCCATCACAAATAGGAAAATCGATGGGGCTAGCGGGTCTCCTTGCCTGACTGAACGTGATATTGGGTAACTGTCAGACAGTAATGTAGAATATTAATTCTCCTTGACACTCGTGTTTGATTACTTCTGATGTTCCATGCCCATTCCGCAGGGTCTACCTCCAGCTCTTCAATTGGTACTGTTGAGTTGTATATGGTGAAAACTTCTGTCTCTACCACCCTCACCTTCCTTAAGTAGTGTTTTGGGATGTCCAGTTCCTATTCCCCCGGCAAGTCATAAAAGCAGTTTACATCACTGAACTCATCCACGCCCCCTTCCGTCTGGCGGAAGGGTCCCTGAACAGCATTGATTACTCAATTGACATGGAGGATTGACTGACAGCTTGCCTTTCTCTGAGTTTCCTCTTAGATCCTTCAAGCACAATCTGTCAGTTAAACGACACAGCTAGAAACCCAAAGACCTGCTGTCTGAGTTGAGCTCGAAGGAACTCATGTCGCCCTGAAGTCCTGTTGCTGTTCCTGATCGGGAGTTGTCGTTGGATCGATGCCAGTCCTTCCATCTGATTTGTAAGCCTGAATCTTAGCTATCTTCCCATGGACTAGCCACACTCTGTTAAAGTTGGATATCAACTCTTGCTGTTTCTCTGGATTTTGCTGAGCTTGGAGTCTGACCTTCTTCCATTGGCACCGGATATCGGTCTCCATGAACAGTTTCGTAGTCACCCATTCTTGTTAAGTCGGTTTGGTAGTCTTGTCGATTGTCTTGTTGCATCTCTCCTTCCAAATGACCCACAGTGTTATCTTCCTGATTATTCCGAACCAGACGCGTTCCGATTTGTGGGAAAGAGAGGGGGTGTAATGACCCGCCATAACACAGACTGAGAACACTGCTGATTTCTGAAGTTCTGCCGATGGAATGGATGCCTTGCTGAGATTCCCGCATTCTGCTGTGTTTTCTAAGTCTGTATGTGTGCGTCCCTGTTGACTTGCGTGCCTGTCTGAGTGCTTGTCGGCATGAGTGTGTGTGTGACCCGTAAGGGTACTTGCTTGTTTGGCAGGCCCGTAGGGTCGGTACTTACCTGTGGCTGTGGCATTGAGGGTTGCAGCAGGGAAAACACTCAAGTAGCGGAGCCAGGGGCCCGCGGTGCTTAGGGCAGCAGGAAAAACACTCAAGTAGCAGGTAGGCCGGTACTGCACCCAGTAGCAGTAGATGTGCCGGGTACTCGAGGCCGAGCAAAAGACGACAAAGTTGGCATTTTTAGAGGCCCAGTAGCGGTAGGCTAGGTCTAGGCCGGTACCAGTCCATCCAGTCTGAGTCTAGAGCCTGTACGGGCAATATCAGAGTCTGCAATGATGTTTCCCTCCGAAAGGGAGGAGGTACCGGTTGCTTGGGAGGCCGAGCGGCCTGGAAGTCACCGCCCAGGAGGCAAGCAGGCCGCTATATCAAGAGGCCGAGGCAAGAGCTCGGCCTCATTCTTCAGTGTGCAAGTTTGGCGACACGCTGCTGGAGCGCTGGCTGGAGTAGCGCTGGGTACTAAGCGCTGCTGGGAGGAAGAAGCCGGGAGCTTCCACCTTGGCTATGTTGATCCTTTAGTGATATATTGGTCAAAGCTGAAGATTAGCTCGATTGGTTTGTGGTCCAGTCCTGCATAGGATGCCATTGTCAGGATGTCGGTCTCTTTAATGGTTCCCATTAGACTCTCCGAGCTGAGGAAGTAGTTGATTCGGGAGAAGGCTTTCCTGCTGACGTCTAGATAATTTGATTAACTTCTTCTGGCATTTAAGATTGTCCTTTTTGCTGTCAATTCCTGGACTGCCTTGAGTATCTCTGTTGCTCTGATGATGCTAAACTTTGGATACAGTTCGCCCTGTTTGCTTGTTTCATGACCAACACCAAAGCTTAGATCGCTCATCTTCTCATTTGCAAGAGAGCTTAGCTTACAACATACATATGAATATTCATCTTTGAGTGTGTGTGTTACATGCCCAGGCCGTGCAGCCTGTCGCAGGTGCAGCATGTAACAGAGTGTGTGTGTGTGTGTGTGTGTGTGTGTGTGTGTGTGTGTGTGTCGCATGTGTGAGTCACATGAGTTATGCACGAGCACGACACGTCATACTCGTGCAGCTCCGATCATATGTGTTGGCACACTGTGGGCAAGGTGCAAGGCGCTGAGGCGATTAACAAATGTAGTGGGGTAGAACCTCATCGTACGCCCATATGCAGTGAGGGTGAGAAGGGCTGTTTTGCCGCATGAAATATAAGTATACGAAACCCAATGGGACGGGGGAGATAGGGTGGCGGAAGTCCATTTTTCTGGCAGATTGATGCAAGAGCATCCATACAACGCAGTCACAAATCGAGTAAAAATAAAGTAAAGTAAAATAAGGTACAGTGAACATAGTTGAGCCTCCAAGCATCATGGTAACGAGAAGTATTTAAAAGATTCCAATCGTAAAGGCGAAAACAGCCATTCACAGAAAATAAAGCATAGTAAACTAAGGCGAAAACAGCTGAGCCTCCATACATCAAAGTTGTGAGAAGCATTCGAAAGATTCCAATCGTAAAGGCGAAAACAGCCATTCACAGAAAAAAAGCAAACTAAACTCAGGCGAACAAAGCTGAGCCCTCATACATCCATGTTGTGAGAAGCATTCGAAAGATTCCAATCGTAAAAGCGAGAACGGTCATTCACAAAGAAGGCCAACCCAGGGCTACAAGATGGAATAAAAAGCGAGAAGATTCTGACTAGGATCCCATCCAAGCAAATAGCCATCCATGGAGGAAGAAGAATAACAAGAAGGAAAGGAAGAAGAGACGAGGAGGGTACAAAACGCAAGTACTTCGGTGAAAGTAATGACGAAGTCACGTAGACACAGCCATCGTTCGAAAAAGCACAAGAAATCTTTCCTTGAAAGGAATTGTAGCTTCAGAACAAAATCACGACAGACTTCGCTCACTCTGTTGCCAATATCCGCACGCGCAGCTACTTACTCAAGAGATGACGAGCGACGAAAGGGGAGATGAAGGGGGAATGGGGAAGGAAGGGGGAAGAAGAAGACGATCCTGCTTCAGCTCTATCCTCCAGGTCCGCTGTGCTCCTGTTTCCGCATGGACCATCTCGCCGAATTGGCAGGAAGGGCATGGCAAGTCCCTGAAGCGCTTTTCTGCCCCATGCCATCTGGGGCGTCATCAGAGGGAGGACATCTTCCTCGATCTCTGGAAGGTGGGGGGGTTGAGGGAGGGTGTGGGGGGGCGTTCCGAGGAGGGAATGGTGGATGGGGAAGGGGGGCGGAAGTTGGGGAGGAGAGGGGAAAGGGGTGGCATGGAGGGCAGAGTCCAGACGTAGGGGAGAAGGGGAGGGAATAGATGAAGTAGAGAAAGGAGAGGAAAGACAGGAAGGAGATAAAAGCTAAAAAAGCGTGCGACGAAGTCCCTGTCGTCATCTTTGATTCCATTTTCACTCTAGCGCGCTATGCACCCGCGTTGCCCGACCAGCTGTCAATAGCGAGCAGAAAGAGCAGGCAGCAGCACCGTGCAAGAAAAAGACTACTGAAACAGATCGTGCCGGCGAGGAGCGCCGCAAAACATCTAGATGAGGCCCATGGCAGCACCTTCTCCGAGAGGCAGGCGGCGAAGAGCAGACCGGCTATGGCTACGTTAGGCAGCAGAGCAAGGAAGAGTAGCAGAGCCAGGTACGCGCTATGCACAGGCGAGAATGCGCAGTTGTCGGATATGGCGGTTGCAGCGGGGCATATCGCGGCGCTCTGTATAGTGCAGGACCGATGCGCGATCAGGGAGGCAAACCGGAGAGTTTCACACTGGGAGCGTTACCACTTCCTCCTCCTCGCGTTGCTCCTCCTCCTGGTCCCACTCGGCAAAGAAGTCCATGTCGTATCAGTCCGCACAAGGCTCCCGCTCAAACTGTATCGCACCGTGCCCCTTCCGCTGTTAGAGCCGATAATCGCACGGTGGATCGATGAATAGCCCCCCAAGTGTCTAGTCCTAAAATAGTCCTAGTCCCACCCCGTTTAGTACACTTGTGCTAAACGCTTCCCTCGCCATCCATCTGTTTAGTGTGTTAATCTGTCGATCGAAAATTTCCATGGTGCAGTGAAAAAGAAAAAAAGAAAAAAAGGAAAGAAAAATTAAACAAAAAAGGGGAAAAAAACGTAGAACAGCGGGGAGCCATGGAACTACAAGGGACAAAACACTATCCCATTGGGGAAGACAGCGGTCGGAAGGGTAACGTCTCACGTCCGCCCGGTTGGCCCGCCGCTCTCTCACTAGGCAGCATCTCTCAGCCAAGACCAAGAGCGAGCTGCTCTCCAGGTCCATAGGCGTCTACCCTACTCCTGCGTGGGCTCAGTATCACGGGGGAGGTGGAAGGGTCCCGGTTCAGCTTGCGCGGGCTTAGAGCAATCTGCTACTACCTCCCGAACGATCCATCGAAACGAAAAAAAGGGAAAAACGGGAAGGGAAGAAAAACGCACGAAAAAAGGGCGGGAAAGAGAAGCAAAGAAAGAAAAGAAAAAAGAAGAAAAGGAAAAAAAGAAAAAAGGAAGAAAGAAAGAAGGAAAGAAAGGAAAAAAGGAAAACGGAAAAGACAAAAAAAGGAGAAAGACAGAAAAGGAAAGAGGAAAAAGGAAAAAGAAAAAAGAAAAAAAGACAAAGGAGGGGGGGAAAGGAAAAAAGGGGGGGACGCTAACGGTAAGACGAAAACGCAGAAGGTCCTTATTCCCGCGGGGGCAGCTGTCTCCTGTCCAAAAGCTCTCCCTCCCAGCCATCGCTGATACCCCTGTATGCATGTGTGTGTGTGTGTGTGTGTTTGTGTGTGTGTGTGTGTGTGTGTGTGTGTGTGTGTGTGTGTGTGTGTGTGTGTGTGTGTGTGTGCACATTGCAGGGACTGAGAGTGCTGAAGGAGAAGTTTCCTAAGACTCCGGTGCTAGCACTGACTGCAACTGCAAGCATGACTGTCAAGGAGGATGTTGTGCAGGTCCTTGGCCTACGGAATTGTGTTCTTTTCAGGCAAAGCTTCAATCGACCAAATCTGAGGTGTGCACGAATATCCAAGGTGTGGGTTAGATGCCTATCTTGCAGTACAAGAGCTACATGTGAGCTTCTGGTCTGAGTCCGTTGAGCGCTTTCTAAATAAAATACGCTCCATTGTCTCCCCACAGTAAGTTCCATCATAACTTCCGAAAAAAAAAAAACGGTATGATTTGTAATGCATATGGCTAAACCGTAAGCCTCTGAACTCCCCTTGGAAAGAAAAAAACACTCCCCCGGCCATATCGAACGGGGCCTTGGAAAGGTTGGGTGCAGTTGTGGGTGGAGCGCTGTGCATGTACTGTTTTGAATATAGGTATGGTCACTTGTGGAAATGGAAGTAGATGCAGAGAATCTGTGGCATGTAAGGGCGAAACTGCAAAAAAAAGAACTATGAAAGCAAAACAACCAAAAGCAACAAAACAACAGAAAAGATGCAAAAGAAGAAAAAACAGAAACAGGAGGGCAGTACCCAATCACCTAGCTCAGTGGGTACACCCATGAACTGTTGAAATACAGACCTGGGTTCGAATCCAGATGATGGTACATGATTAATAAAACCAAATTGCCTGGGATAAAAAAAAAAAAGAAACAGGAAGGCCGCAGAAGCGGGTTTATGGTTTAGCAAGCAGGGGAGGTCTTGAGCAAGCAGGAGGGCAGCAGAAGCGGATGCAGAAGTCTCTGAACTTGCAAGCGGTGCGACCGGGAGCGCCGCGCCGCTCCGCTATCGACATGGGCCGGTTCGTGAGTTGGTGGCGCCTTGTCGGCATGGCTCCCTGCGAGGAATATCGAGGAGTTGATGTGGGCAATGGGGATTACGGCCCCAGGCGATGACGCGAGGTTGTGTTGGTTTTGTCTGGCGCGGCCATTGACGTGATGCTTCGGCTGAGGGTTCTTCCAGCCTTGATAACCTAGGCTGAAGAGGTCTCTTACTCCGTGCTTCATTTATGTGGTGTTGCGGGTTGACACGCTAGAGGAAGGGGAGGCTGTCGGGGTGATTAGGATAGTCTTCATGAGATCTTGGGCATGGTAGTGGCCCTGCTCCTATGCTCCTGCTCAAATCTAGTGGAGGTTGGTTGGGCAGCGCGGGCAGAAAGCGAGGAGCATCTTCTCATGCGGAGTGGGAGGAGGGAGGCTTGTTACAAGCTGAAGCATCAAAAAGAGCTGGCGGTTTCAAGCATTCGTTTGGGCTGGTTCACCGGTTAAAGACACGGAAGCAGGTAGCGGCACAATAATGACAGCGGCGATGGGGCAGGAGAATTACGTGCGAACATGTGTGGCGCTCTTCACGCCGGCTGCCTTTTCAAATTGATTTCGTTGATTTTAATTTTGTATCTTCTAATTTCCTATATTCTTGCTCTAATCTAGTGCTTACACAGTTATAAATTCAGCTTCTCAAATTGGGAAAAATAAACTCACAATCTTATCCTCTATTTTCTGATTAGCCAAATTCTCATCTACATGTACGCACAGACACACACATCCTTGAATTTCGACTATAATTTCTAACCCAAGTAAAGTATTCTCATCTACATGTACAGACATACACACAAACATATATTATCCATTCTGAATCGCCAGCACAATTCGTAGGGATCTGTTCTATAATTACGTATCCTTGAATTTAGACTATAATTTCTAAAAGTCCCAAGTAAAGTTCTATCATGATTTTCTAATCTTGGAACCCGAAAACTTCAGAATTCTACTATTATAGCTATAAATATTGCTCCGATAATAAGTTTTTTGTTTCTCTTAAATTGGTGATACACGTACACATGGTGGGAGCTGCTAAACGTTGATTGGCGCAAGGGGCAGGGGAGTAATTGTAATAGTCTTTCTGCCACCCTGCGCTTTCTTCAGTGGGTTGACGTAGGGTGTTTTCGGGGGTTATTGCATATTTTTGAAGAGGCCCTGCTTTTCCAAATTGCGATCGACATTTGTCGGCTGGATCGGATCGTTCCCGGAGGGCTGAATGGTAAGAACGGGGTGGGGGGAGCTCTATCTTGCAGGGGCAGCACAAGGTGGGGGGTGAATGTCTCAAAGAGGGTAGGGGCGGAGTAGGGGGTTGCCCTATTCTGGGGCAGAGGCTGGTGTGGGTCAACATCAGTCCCAGCGGAGGCAGAAATGGGCAAGGGGTGGGGGGGCATGCTTTAGGTGGGAACTGTGTGCTGCTGGGGAAAGGGGTGTAGAGGGTTGGTCCTATATTGGGGCCGAGGGAGAGTGGGTGGCTCGCCTCGGCGGAGGCAGTGTAGGGCTGAGGAGGGATATTTTTTTGGGGCAGAGGCTGGTGTGGGTCAACATCAGTCCCAGCGGAGGCAGAAATGGGCAAGGGGTGGGGGGGCATGCTTTAGGTGGGAACTGCGTACTGCTGGGGAAAGGGGTGTAGAAGGTTGGTCCTATATTGGGCCGAGGGAGAGTGGGTGACTCGCCTCGGCGGAGGCAGTGTATGGCTGAGGAGGGAGGGGGAGGGGGAGGGAGGGGCGATCTCTCTCGATGCAGTTCAGTATTTCTTTCCATGTGGTTTGCCTCTCAAGGAGGTTGTCGGAATAGGTGCTATCTGGCAAGTCATCTGTGATCCTGCGAAGGGTGGTCGAAAATTCGGTGGCCCCCGAAGACCGATGCTGGAGCAACACTGGCCGGAGCCGGAGCCAGGTGG